AGTTCCACATAGAAAACACATGCTCGCCAGTGACTGTGGGCGTTTGTGCACATTTGTGCTGTAAAACCAAAGGAGGGTTAAACTGTCGTGTTCTCTTTGGTTTCCGTCTCCACAAACAGCAAGAGAGCCAGATCATGACGATGGAGAACCGGAACTACTTTTCCCTCCACTGCATCCAGATGGAGACTCAGCTGGTCCACGCCAACATCGACATCCTAGCGGAGGTGGTGCAAGCCCTGTCCAAGACGGAGCTGCAAGGACACAAAGAGGTAAGCTACTCGTCACTGTCACCGTCACTGTCCATTGCTCTGACATGCTACATGAACACAAAGCAGAACTCGTCCTTCATGGGTCCCAAGGCCAGGCAAAGATGGATATGATGGCACAGATCTATGAGCCCCTTTGCCACCTGATGGGCCAAGCCTAGCCAAAAGACACAGTGCTGAGATCCCGTCAGAATTGTTCTTGATTTCAGGATTTTTTTAATGAGGATTTTCCTGATTTCAGGTTTTTTTTAAACATTGGGAAATGGGAGAAATCTTTTTTTTTTACTTTTAAGGTGTTCTTGATTTGAACAGAAATGGCTATTGTAAGGGATTCCTTTTGTCAAACCATAGAAGGACACAGATGGAGTTGCTACTCTGGCACTTCAAAGTGTTCAATGATTGTCAGCGCCGACTCGGACAAATAACAGAAAACATTCCAAAAACGCCCGATGACTGCCTGCATCTTAGCCAGCCAAGCAGGGACAGTAATATGCTAGAGATAGTCGCAGTGTTTTATTTGAAATCAAATACAAATTACTGCTTTGACCAGGAAATCGAGAGAGAAAATCCCTGATATTAGACCTACTTTTGCCATCATGAGTAAACATTTTGTATTCTGATATTCCGTTCCATCATTCGTGTAAAGGTTTTAATTTTATGCTCCTCCTTCCAATACATTAGTGTTCAAAGACTTGGTACGAATTTGGCTAAGACTGGTCAAAAAATGTTGACCACTACCAGAAAGCTAAGTACATAAGGAACAGAGAGTAATCATGAAATCTCATGATGTGTCAAATACACTTTTGTGCAAAATGCTGAAATAAAAATGATTCGAACAAAATGATGGCACATGAGATTTGGGGCACACAGCGTAATGCAAGCAACCGCGCAAGCATTAAATTTGATGTTGTCATGAGATCATACCAAGCGCCAACAAAGCATGAATAGTCAATTTCCTATACCTCAGTACAGAAAGTTTTAAGGATGCAGATTACCAGCGAAAAATTGCGTTGGCGATCATAGGGTACAAAGGAGTTTTGTGGTTGTGAAACAGATGGTGTGTAGCAAGCGCTCGCTGCACTCTGGCTATGGACATACCGTGTATGCCAGAGAGTGACGTTTGGCCAGATGTTGTAGCCCGGGCAGTTCAAACTCCTTCTGTGTCCTTCCTCTATGGTCAAACACAAGTGCATACCAACGAACCTTCACCACTGTGGGGCTCTCGAAGCCTCTGGTGATTACTTTCTGGATATTTCACTTTCTTCCAATCGCACCCCTAGCAGAGCACATACTTACCCCCCTCTAGTGGCTCATCCAGCAGCAGTTGGGGAGTGAGGGGAGGAAGGACCCTCCCCCTTCCCAACACATGCTGCAGATCTCTGGAGGGTTTTGTAACGAATTGAAAGCATCAATGCTTATGAGGTGTTGGTGCTACTGCCTTCCTTTGGAGGAACAGAAACCCTCCTACATATGGATAAGATATCGGACCATCACATTTTGGAAAAACCGATTGCTATTTGACCCCTTCCCCCCATTCTCAGAGCCTGGATTTGCCGCTTTTCCCCTCATTTGCCACAGGTATATTCCTATCGCTGATGAAGGTCTCTGTTTCAGTCTTTGTATAGTGGTCCTCGGACCATTCGCAACCGCGTCCGTCCTTTGGTTTTCGGTGACGGTGCCCGCTCTTATTTCCTTTACTTTTCCCACTGCCAGTTCTGGTTTTGATTTTCTCCCTCTGCCTCACCACTTCTTTTCGCATTGCAGCTGACGCAAGTTTGGGAAGACACCACCGCCAAAGTAGACACTCATATGACAATGGGATTGTTATCATCATCATCATCTTGACTGTGAACGCCTGCCACTCCTGCTACCTTCATAAAAAGTCAGCGCCCAAATTAAAACCAAACCAGTTCAAGCCAGTTCCATCCAGTACCATCCTGTACCATCCGGTCTCTATCCGGTTCCATGGGCAGCTGGCGCAATGCTGGCTTGTCCCTGTATCCTCTTTTCATACCATCGCTGTTGCACCCCCTAAAATACTTTAATTTCCATTTTTTTTTTTTTAGATTTTGTATGAAATTACTTATTAACATTTTTAATTCTGTTGAGGTTTGTGCGTAGTAATTTTTGTTAAATGTAACATCAAACCTCACGAACTTGCTCGCCATTCACCACAATGTTAATGAAAGTTTCCATGTAAGTAGTAATCCTTCATAACAAGAGAATAACGGGAAAATATCTTTCATTAACAGGGATGTAAAGTTTGTAAATTGATCAAGGTTTCCTTGTTTGTACACATATATTTTTAACCTAAAAGCGTTAGACAGACTTTCCCTTCATACTCAACCACTCTTAACATTCTGAAAAACATGCATTACATTTCCCTGCTTGGAGTACCTTTCTGTAAATCTCTCTGTTGGAAACATACAGACATTTCCAGTCATTATGCTTTACATTTTCAATGTAACAGGGTTGGCATGGTTTGTACACAGTAGGTGGAACTTGTACACCGTAGGTGGTGGTGTTGTAAAAGATTTATGTACATTTATGTGTTTGAAGGCCAGTGGAGTGATCAATTTCTCGAGTTCAGGGGCCGATTTCATACAGCTGCTAAGCACAAAATTTGCTTAAGTATGAAAAAGCTTGCTTAAAAAAACAAAGGTTACCAGCTCAAACTCTATCTGATTGTCATGCTAACCAAAAGACAGCTGACCATGATTCCAAAACAATACACATCACATAGAGTTTTGGCTGGTTACCTGATTTATCAAGCAAGGCTTTCTCGCGCTCATGCAAATTTGGTGCTTAAGCAGCTCTATGGAATTGGATCTAATAGTAGTCATTAAAATTCTGCCCTTTGCACATGCACTGATGGTATTATGATGTTTAGCATGTTGAGCCTCTGTCCGACATGCAGCCAGCAAATTTTGTTATAATTACTGAGGAACGTTTGATGCATGATTGGCTGTGTCTTTGGTTCTTTCTGGCATGATACAAACGCGGCATATTTTCACACAATGAAAGGCATATTTGTAACTCATGCACCGTCGAGAATGAATTGAAAAGGTAGATGAAGGTGTCAAGGATGTGGAGGGTGGATATTTCAGTATTAAGGACAAAGATCCTCGTTCTTATAGATACTAAAAGGGGAAAAATGTAATGTTCATGTCAAGCAGTACATTTGCATAACCTGATTAACAGAACGCCTTTTGTATAGTGGATTGGGTCAAGACTACAGAGGGAGTTATTAACATAGGGGATATTTCTCGCTCTCTGACGTGATTTACCGAATCACTCTTGCAGTTTGTTGGGGTTTGGGAGGTCCTAGCGACTCAGTCCCCGACGTTGAGCGGTGGAGAGGAGCAAGCCGGGCCCAAGACACCCACCTCGCCCACTTCACCCGCCATCTTGACAGCTGCGTCCTTCTAAACGTAGACCATAGAGCTATGTTCAATTACTAGAGAGCTGACTAGCTTTAGAAAGTGAAGCCTGCTGGGCGCATCCGTATTTGTGCACGAACCTATGGAAAAACTCAAATCTTTGTAGCGCTTTCGTACAACTGCTTGCATATGTGTGTCTGTATTCAAAAATGATGCCTCAATGAAGCCACTTCTCAAAAAAAAAACACAACTCAGCACACAAGCAGCAAATGAATGTTTTGATTGCAAATGCATATGCATTTATGCATATTCGCTGGAAATAAATTTTGCTGAGGATAGTGTCGTGCTAATGATAAACCTGCACTGTATATCATTTGCGTGTTGCAGTTAGGGTCCATGATTTGGAATTGTCCACCCTACTTCAATATTTGTTCCACAAACATGAATTCAATATGTCTGTGCCCAGACGGTGTCCAAGCTTCTCCGCCCGGGGAACGAGGAGTTAGCTTTCTAGTAATTCTTCCTCTTTGAGGCAGACCCACAGTATTAGAAGCCGCTACTGCGGTCGTATACCCCCTGCTCAGGATACATGTGAGTTACGTGCCTCTTCATTCAGACGATTGTCGTGACTTGTCAAAATACTCGTGTATCAAGTTGAAGAATGTGCACATGATTGAGGTGCCACGGGCACTGCTGGGGGGAAGGGGGAAAAGCGTACTTTTTTTGGGAGGGGGGGAATTTCATCACCAACGCACTGCTTAACTATCAACAGTAGTATGGGGTCGGTGCTGACGTTTTGACCAAGCATGTTGGTGGTACACTTTCTTTTCCCACTTTTTAAAATTTTAGTTCAAAAATTCAGTGGTGTGAGAGTTCAGCTTTTTCGCTAATTTCAGCTTTTCTTGTTTAGATGCTGACCCCGATTTTCTTTTTTTTTTTTTTTTTACACCTGGTCTATACAAAAGTATGGGAACTTTTTACAATTCAGCTTTTTGTTAGCTGTATTCGGCTTTAATTTTAAGTAGCCACTCGCACCCCTGAAGATATTTTGTTGGTGGAGGGTCACCCCTTACACCTCCCCCCCCCCCGCAATGCCTATGTCATGTGCCACTGGAGTCATAGCATCTCCTTGGATTATATTAGTCCATAGAACGACGGGATTGATTTAGAACTCGTGCTGTATCGTTGTCATGGTCCCCACATATGACGTAATATCATAACTTTACAATCTTGGATGTTTTCTTCGGTACCAGTGCCCAGAATTGTGGGTGATGTTTGCATGATTGCTGGACAAATTTAATCACTGAAAGATAACTGATGGGGATTTTTTGATCTGTTGCCACAAAACCCACCTGCATTTATTTTTACTAAACCTTTAGTATTGTGTCTACAGTTATAAATGCCTTGTGAATGGCCCCATGTTTATGAATTGTACATGTTTATTTGCCTAATTATCTCTCTTGTTTGTATTTTGTGAGGTTACTTAATGTGAACAGTGATAGCTAATATTACTGGTCTCTTTTCAGTTTTTGTTTTTCAATTTTATACACGTATGTCAGTTTTCATGTGCTTCTCATTCTGCAGAAGTCTATGTGCATTGCAACCAGGTGTTGTAGTTTGAGGAACTCTGTAATTCTCTTTTTAATTTTAAGAAAACAGACTTAGTATTCTGTAGTCAAAACTTCAGTTTTTTCGTAGTGCTTCTTTTCCTGAATGTGCCTGTTCACCGTAAGCAGAATTGCGGTTTCCCCTGCGGTACTGATGTGTTTGAGGTGGTCAAAAGAATTTTGCCAAAATTTTAGCGCCTAAAACAAAACCAAATATGTTTGAAAAGGTCTCAAATAAATTCGAAACAGTCTAACAGTACATTTACTCAAAATTTCTCCTCAAAAATAAATTGATCTTGTATTCTGTGTCCCTCTCAAACATTCTGCACAATTTGAACCTGATCTATTTCAAACTATCTAAATTGTTTTGCTTTTTCCTTCTATGTTTGTCTGTTGTAAGTGTGAGGTTGTAAAATTCAACAGAAAAGGCCTGAGGCGGTCACTAAAATCAGTGAAGTGGGTCGCCTCCCCATTGAATAGTCAGGGGAAACCTTGTGGAGAACAGGCAGTAGACGAGTAATCCTGTCTGTCACCCTTGATTCTTCACTGTTCCCACTTTGTCGATCTCCCAAAACACTTAAACCCCACACAGTTTACCAACCACAATGGCACCTGAAAGCACCAGTTGTAGCATGGTTGCACCGTAATGGCTTGCACTGTGTTGTGTGAGCCCAGTTGCCTTGATTTGAACACTATTTCAACTTGGCAGTTTGCTGCAGTATTATTACAGCTGTACGCTCTGCCTCGCAGAAAGGGGTGCATGGACGTGGCAGAAGGGTTGAGGGGCCTCATGGGATAACTAGCAAGAAACTGGTCAGGGGAGAGAATTAAGATCATACGAAGGGAGAGAACTGACACATTCAGCGAGACTATCAGCTGCTGCCAGTATAGCCGCGTCCGAATCAGCATGGCTGTGGCTGGGAGTAACATGCGTCTATGGGAAATTACAGCAGCCGCCAGTCAATGACTTCCATAGCCTTGTGTATCTTGCCCAGCCGTAGCCAAGTAAATCGGACCTGGCCCGATAATACATTGCCAAATAGTGCTTCTTTGCCTCCAGATCGTGCAATGTTCTGCGCGAGTGAGCTGCAAGAATATTCTTTGAAAAATTTTTTGATGCGTCTCAAAGAATGTCCTCTGACTTGTGCGCAGCTGGTCGTTGTAGTCCTGTTAATGATACACAGACTTTTTATTGGGTGTCTTCGTGTACGAACACTGTATACTCGTTGTTAATGGCAGGTCCCCATGCAAATTGTTTTTTACATAAAAGTGAATCTGGTTCACTGATATAAAATTTGCATGTAACTGGTCATTTCATGAACACTGCTCTAGAGTTCGAGTGGTGGTGTAATGGCGACAACCCCACAGGAAATTTAGAATGGTCCTGAATCAGAGACATGAATGTTGGAGGATGGATTTTTTCCATCGTCTTTTCCAACAGATCCCACTGGAGCTTAGAATTGGGTCTGTGATTGGAGGTGAATTGGTTCTGCACTTTTGAATGCAGTGATGTAGTGGAGTCCATCGCCAGTCCTGTCACAACTCCCTTCATGAGTCCAGTCACAAGTCCTCTCACAAGACTGGTCATGAGTAACGGGGGTGTACATTGGCAAAGGAGTGCTTGGGCCTGTTTGTTTCACGTAGATCTGGGTTTCAATCATTGGTCCCAAATCTGGTCTGCGCTGTCCATTAGGTGGGTTCTGGTGTTAGTGAACCAGTGAACTGATTGCAATCGCGATCCGTGTGAAACAAACAGGCTGCTTACGTCAGAACTCACTTAATTAGCATGTGGCTCAGCCTAAGACCGAATGGCTTGTGCTCGACTTTTGGGGACTCTTGATGGATTCAACTACAACACTGCTTGAATATATGCATCCATACTCCATAAGTTAGTGAACCGCATCATAACTGTGGTCACTGGTGTTTGATGGTGGGAAAAAAAGAAGTATTTGGGGGTTGGAAGTCAGGAAAGATTACAGTTTTTAAAATCATCTATTCCTCTTGCATTTCAGATATTTCGCTTAAACTGCTTTTGGTAAACTTAACAATTTCAGCATTTTGTACTTTCATGTATTTCAGTAAGTCATGTATAAGCATCCCACATTATGTATATACTTTTATTGTGATGAGGCCTATTTGAAAATGGTGCCAAAAATGAGTGTCTTTGTGTGTTAAATCTCTAAAATTGCTTAAAAGCATAGTCAGCATCCTTTGCACTTGATATGATTTCAAATATGCTCTGTGTGTTTCCTGTCCTTAGGGAAAAGTTACCAATACTCAATTAATCATTTGCTTTTTAAATTTAATACAAATGATGTGTGAGCCGGCCTGAAGATTTCAAATATGCAGAACGACAGATAGTAGGTGGAACATTAATTGGAGAGTATGCACAGTGTTTTTAATGTCTGATACTGCGTAGACACCTGGTGATTTTTGGAATTTTCTGGTACAGCATTGTTCACATTGTTCATTGCTTTAGAAGAGGAATCTTTTCCAAAGGGTAATTGTAGTCATTCTGTTCCATGTTCCACTGAAGCCAAAGATCATTGGCCCTTGCTAAACTACACCACCGACTTCGGTGCACTAGACAGGAGAAGTAATCATCGTAGTGTACAATTCTTTTCACTGTTCCGCACAGTCAGAAGAGAAATGTACCTTGGTGCATCGGGGTTTGAGCTGAATAGGATCATTTGATGCTGGGTACTGTTTTCTTTAAAAGGGAGTTGGATTGGTCAAATCATGTCAAGTGACCACAGCGTGTATTCTATGATTGGCTTAAATCACAGTGTATAAACGTGCAGCCAATAATGGGCAGAGTCATTGGACTTTGATTGAGCCACTGTGCCGGGTAGCCTTTTGCTTTGTGAGGAAGTTGTGGCTGTGGCTGCAGATAGCGTGTACACGAATGGAAGATAGTGGCAACTGTCAGCCTCAACCAGTTGATTTAGAGATTGCCTTGGCCTTTTATTGATAATAACCAAATGCAGTTCATGGAAGAATGCATCATATTAGCCACAGTCTGATTGGTTAAGGACTTATTGCTATGGTGATGGGTGCTGATTGAACGATCTGGCTCTTTCAACAGAAGTTGTTGAAACTTTGCAGAAAGGACTTAAAGAGTTGAGGAAGGCTTGTGAAGCCTTTATACCTTTGTGAAAATTATAGAAATGTGTTTATTAGAGGATTCTAGATTTTTTTGAAAAGATGGACAGAATAATTTTCATTTTCTTTTTTTATTACAGAGAGCTTGCCAGAAGGTTTAAATTTACTGTTATTGATTGAAAAATTAATTTTATTATGCAACTTGGTGATCAGAAATGAGCACCTGCAAGACCGTACCAGGTAATTTTTTTGGTTTTGAAAGTTCAAACAAAAGGTAAGCATGGTTCTATAGTATTTGTTTACCTCTAGCAACTTCCTTCCCATGGAAATAGTCCCCATCCCAGTGAAACGGGTTCCTATGAAATGAGTGTACACAGTAACATTTTTGCCTTGTGTACTAGAAGATCATTCAGCTCATTACTTTGGCATATCGCTCGTGAGGTGTGGTAGTAGAGTCCATGGCAAGTCCCTGCAAGATGATCACATGCCCATCACATCAAGTCATGAGGTCTTAAGCCAACTCGCAAGCTATTCAAATGAACTGTGACAACAGCATTCTTTGTCATTGCTGACCCCTTCACTTATGACTGGCCTTGTGAAGGGGGGTGTGACTGGTTTTGTGGAGGGATTCGTGAAAGGACTTGTGATGGCTGACTGTACTACAGTACTACCGTCGTGTGATACACTGACAAAAGGGGGTCACGTGAATGTGTATTCAAAGTGTTTGATTCCCACACTGTTTTAAGTGTGAGTCCCCATCAGAACAGGATTCTGCTTGATGAAATTGTCTGAAGAGTTGCTTATCTGCCATTCTTTTGTAAGAATTCAGGAGGTGATATCCACAAAGGGTTGTTGATCCAATTGAGAACCTGGCCCAAATAGGAATGGAGTTACTTCTCTACATTGAGATAATGGTCATTCCCATGACCTAACCTCATTTCTCGTGTCACAGTATGTCTCCAATTCTATTTACCCTGCACCCTTTGATTTCATTTCATGAAGACTTTACGTTGAACTCCTCTTTACTGAACTTGTTCGTGGATAACATTAAAAGTGATTGTGTCTCTCCAGATTTAGATGCACTGAAAAGTGGTTGATAATCATCCCCTTGTGCAACCCACTCTGGAAGTAGAACTGTGAACGATAATCTGTATATAGACATGGATCGTGTTTTCAGTGTGAATTTGATAACTCAAAAGTATATATAGAGTAAAGTTTATATACTTTTTTTGGCAAGGTGATAGTAATAAGCACAATAAACATTTCAGACACAAAATTTTCCAGTGGCTTGTTTGTTTGCTTGACCCTTAGATATGCTTCATTTTTTTTCCTGTCTGGAATATTAACTGTTGTTGAATTGGGAAATTTATGCCTCCATACCAGAGTCAATGTCTTTGAATTTGGCAACAATACTCTTTCAAACGTGAACATTCAAAGTCCCTTGTGTACATCTATTGGGTCATATTATGCTTGTAGTTTGAGGTTGCCAAAACCTGCACAATCTATCACCTGTTTTAACCACTTTCTGCCGGGGATTCCAGATGCAGACATGTATGCTTTATATGCGTGGCCAGGGTCTCCGAACTCAGACAAAGGGAACAGGGCCTTGTAACAAAAGACCGTACTTGGAACAAAAGACCAGGCTGCTGGGCATTACCGACATTATTTTACTCTCAAAAGTGGAGAGAATCCAGCCTTGTTTGAAATGGTACACCACGGTTTGGGGCATTTAGAGCGAGCGGATTACCACCGGGGACAAAAGCGCTCCACCACCGCAGCGATGAGCCACACAGCACCGCTGCATGCTAATCATGCCCCTGAGGTCAGCAGTGCACTGAGCCAGGTTCGTGAACAAAAGAAAGTTATATAACACCACACAATCTGGGCTCTTCTTACAAGGCTGCAGGCATCAATAGATTTTGTCTGTCGGGCTAGAGGGGCCACCAGACAGTCCTTCACGTGGGTGTAAATGTCCAGTAAATGAAGATGGGAGTTTTTAAAGAATTTTGAAAACAAAAAAATGATAAATATCCTGGTCCAGCATCATCAACATTGATAACTACCCCAGCAGGAAGTGGTTAAGTGGCAAACTGTGCAAAGAGTTCCTTGGCAAACTTGGTAATTTTTTTGTAATTAATGTAAATGGCAAGATTTGCTTTGTATATATGTGACGCCAGACTTCTGAAATGCAGTTCTGTTTGCTCCACTGAAAGTAGAAAAGGTCAAACATTTTTCTCCCAAGTAAATACTTCAAAAACTGTAACGTTTTCATTTCCTATTCCACTGTCACGCAACCTCAGCAGGGAGAGCTGAACAAGCCTGACTGGACTGCATTGACTTTGGGTGGGTGAAGTCAAGAGGTTGTAATCAAACAGTTTGGGATCAAGCCCGGAGTTTGGATGATCTTCTTGTTGAGGCGAGCCCAGACTGGTGCAACCGGTGCGATCAAGCAACATCGGCACAAGAGGGGACTGGAACCCTGAAGCTGAACTGAAATGGTACCTTCTATCACCGGTATGACTTATTTCTACTGACAGCACCAGGATATTAACCGCGCACACTTTTAAAGTGAAGTATCCTTGAGACATCCGTTAAATCGAATCCGGATACTGGCAGTGTTGTAGTCGACACCACTTAAAGACCTTCACAAGACCACACAAGACCTCCAATCTGAATTCAAGTCTCAAGCTCTTCAAATGAACTGCAACAAAAGGATTACGTTGTCATTGTTCACCGTGTTACGTGTGACTGGTCTTGTGCATTGTCTTGTGCGTGGTCTCATGTCTGGTCTTGTGCATGGTCTCATGTCTGGTCTTGTGCATGGTCTCATGTCTGGTCTTGTGCATGGTCTCATGTCTGGTCTTGTGCGTGGTCTCATGTCTGGTCTTGTGCGTGGTCTCATGTCTGGTCTTGTGCGTGGTCTCATGTCTGGTCTTGTGCATGGTCTCATGTCTGGTCTTGTGCATGGTCTCATGTCTGGTCTTGTGCATGGTCTCATGTCTGGTCTTGTGCATGGTCTTGACTTCAACACTGGATACTGCACAGAGTTACATCACACAACCCTAACCATAAGATCGTAAAACTGATAAAAATGAGTGGTGTCTGGTATAACATTCTGATTTCATCTGATGGGTAAATCCAAACCCCTTTACCAGTTAAAAATGCACATAAATGACACAAATCCTTTATAATCAAATATGAATAAAATTTATTTAATTTTTCATTATTTTGTAAAACTGATGTGTTCCTATCTCCTAACTAAACTTTCCCTGTTTGAACAAACACAAAAAAATGATTCTATCTGTGAGAACACCATTTGCATAATATTATGACGATGACCTTGTTTCAATTAAACGGGGAGAAAATACAATTATTTACAACTTGCATTATAAATAATAAAAATCCAACTTCCAAATAAACAAGGTATTATTCACCAATTGAACTTAACCCTACTTGAATAACTTGAAGTGATATGTGTTTCACATAAACCGAGTGAGATGGCCTTAATCTGTTAATGCTGTGGTGACGTCAATGTCTCAAGAACGGCCAACCAAAAATTAAGCACACTCGATGTAGATTTTATAACGAACTAACTCCATGAATGCACCATTCAGGTAATACTGAACTGCTATAATGATGTGGGCAAAAGAAAATAATCTTGTAATCGCAGGTGTGGATGGGGGGTCTGAGACCAAAAAAAGGGAAAAAATGGGGGAAATAATAGAAAATACCTGAAGTACAACCAATACCATTGAAAACAAGTATGTCATGTACATGTATTTTTCATCATCATTTCCGCTTCTCCGCAAAAATAAGAGACAAACAAATCTCCGGCCTGAACCCCCTCCTCCCGGAAAACTTTCTGGATCTGCCCCCGAATTGGGTATTCTTTGCAAGTTGAGCGCAGAAGTTAACTGTCCTCTTTTGCATTGCCTACTATTCGTATGGGTGGCCAACGTTTTCAGAAATATCACCCTTTCTTAGGGTTCACCTTTTTTAGGGAGTAACCCAAATTGTACCTTTACGCCATCGCTTTTAAAGTCGTAGTTTCCTTAAGAATTTTGTGTTCATTATCCGGTGTTTTGTTGGCATCGTGAGACTTTCCAATACTAAGTGAGTTATTATGTAGGTTTTGAACAGATGACCAGATACGGTTTTGCAGCCACCATCAGGCAAAATACGATTGTGACATAGAAGCAGATTGCAGACATTTCCAACACTGCCTCCCCTAAGTCACATGGATAAATTCCAAACTTTAAATGCCATTTCCTGATCGACGGTTCTGTCAAAAAATAGCTCCTGATAACACACTGTGAGTCACAGGCGTACAAGTTTGGGTTCAGACAAAGTTTAAATACTGTGAGCAGTGAGACCCTGACATTTCAGTAGGCCGTAAATAAACCGAGCGCTTGATGATGACACTCTCGACAGACCACTGGAGAGGGATGAAATTTGTCAGAGTCTGTTTCAAGGGGGATGAAATTGCAAGGGGGACCATTTAGATCTTTTTGGTAACTTATTACTGAGCACTTCAACTGAATAGACCTTAATTCACCACGAAGTCATTTTGATCACGTTCCCTAGATCTATCTTATTCAGTATAATCTGTCCTATGGGGTGGTGCCAGACTATTTTGTTTTATGTCCCCATTCCTTTTTGTTAAATGTTACTTAAAACATTAAGATATCGGTGTTGTAGTCGAGACCATCACAAGACTATGCGCAAGACCATGTGTTGGTCTGGTGTGGTCTTGTTAAGGTTTTAAGTGGTCTCGACTATTACACTGTTAGATAAAGTAAATCACAAATTTTCAATTCTTTACTATCGTCAATGAAATGAATCTTCAATGAACTTCCATTACTTTCATTTTGATTCTTTGGTTCCCAAAATAAGAGAGTTAACCTCGCTTTCAATTCTATTTGGCCAACTTGTGAATGAGGCCGACCAGCCTGGCCCCGTTTTTCTTTCTTTCCTTTTTTGCATTTTTCTCACGTTGTGCAAGTTCTGTGCATACAAAGGCCACTTGTGGTTGGAATGCAAACATTACCTTTTGCAAAGCTTCCTGCAAACAGCAGAAAATGTTGCATTTGTTGCACTAGCATTTTGTGTAAGGTCATTTGAAAACTGGCTGCGCGTTGCACACCATCGCAGTTTTCACAAAGACAAAAGTCTCACCGGCGAGTAAAACCTAGCTTTCGGGGAAATTAAATGGCACAAAACTACAAAATAATATTTATAGAAGTCCATCAGAATTGTTTACTTTGTAAACAAACACATTTGTCTTCCTGAAAATACTAAAATTTGTGTGAATTCTTGTCTCTTTATGAATACGGTACACGCAGTGCACACTACTGCCGTAGCAGGTGCCAGGTGCAAATTTTTTACAATTGTATACACATCCAGAGTGAAATTTTTCTCTGTATGAAAATGGAAAACCAAGTTTTGCCCATGGGTTTGCCCTTTTTTTGCAAACGATATTTAAATGGAAGACAACTTTGTCTCTTTACGAAAACAAAAACTGCAATTTAGTTGAATTTTGGCCCACAGGGACCATCGTGGTATGGCTAATTTCAGTTGGCAAAAAAGCGATTACACCATGTTGTAAGCGTCGCACAGCCTCGTTGATTTGGCCAAAAACAGAAATTGCCCCCCCCCAAAATGCTTTTTGAGGCAATTTGTGTCTTTGTGAAACTGGTGATGATACATCTTACTAAACAGGTAATACACACATTTACTTTTGTTCACTCCTCGCACCCTACCTATGGCATCTAAAAATACAGAAAAGAGACACTGAACAAGACGAAACTACGTAACAGAAAGAAAAAACCTCAAATGCATTCACAGTTTCAATCATTAATCTATGATTTCGCTATAAATGGAAGACTAAAGGACAAAAGCTTCCCTTCATTATAATAAAATATGTACATATTTCAAGGTTTCATCTACAATAAATCATACGGTAGGTGGTGGTCAGGGGTGTGTCTTGAATGAAACAAGAACTAACATGACAAATCAGTAAGTAATTGTGGGAAGGATCACAGACCTTGGAAGGAATAATGTTAACATTTTATAAACAAAGTTCTTAAATGGTAAGTATATCCCAATATATATCATTGTACAACAAATGTATTGTCAGAGAGCTCCTTTTCTGGCCACGCCAATTTTGTCAAATTTCTAAAATTGGACTTTTTATTGAAGTGCCTTGATTGCAGCAGGTTTTATGTTAGAACCGTAAACGAGTAGCTTCTCTGAAATTGGATTTCTTAACTCCTCCGCACCGGTAATTCTTTTGACCGTGACTGCTGGGCTCTGGTACGCCCTGAATGGAAGGCTTTGTCTATCACCAGGCCCCATTGAACCAGCAGCTGCATGGTGAATAGACTGTATGTGTGGTAGGCACTAATCCTCACACAAAGCCGCGGCTGTCAACGGTTCCCGGTGCGAAGGGGTTAATAATCTGTAATCATATTAGAATGGTACCTGACTCGTAATGCTGTAATACCAATACAAGTTGGTATTCTACCTGCAGCGCAGCCTTACTGCTGATGTAATTCACCCTGTTTCAGGGTTTCTGCAAGCTCAGAGTTGTGAAACTGTTCAGAATATCCTCAATAGCGTCCACCTGCCGAGGAAAGTGCAAAAGAATAAAGTGTTGTCACTTTTGTATCACTTTTCATACATGCATGTGCGTATGCTGAGTTTGTCGTTCCATGCTTCGTTGATGCGCTATAAAACCTCTATTTTTAGGTAGACAATAAAGAAATGTTCACGTTAACGAGAACACAAACGGATGAGTAAAAACAGAAGTAGATGTTCCCAAGTTGCTGCCAATGCATCAAAAGCCAAGCACGGTGTCATTGGTCAGCTCTTATCAAATGTGATCTTCACATGTAAGCGTGCATTACCAAATTGGCATGCGACTGCATTTCCATTTTCAAGATCTCTGCTGGAGAAACTATCCAATTTTTTCCCTCAATTCAGAACTAGTTGGACTGCTTTCAATTATTTAAACCATATTAAATGTGTGCTTAGAAGTGCCATGGGTGGTCCTGTTGACCAACTGCTTGTGGCGATAATATGCACGTCAGCTATTGAAAAACAATACCTGTTCATTTGTCGCTGCTTCTTGCACTTGCAAGGTGAGTTGGTCCAAGCGTCGCATGTGCTCCGACAAGCCCATGCTGCTCATGTACACTTTCAACATGGCCACCAGCTGCAAGGAATCAATTCAAAGCTGGTACGTCTCTTTTTATTGGTGTACAGTTTTCTTATATTGAGCTGAGAGATTTGACACGCTGCTCGGCAAGTGCGGTGCGTAGTGTTCTCAAAGGTCATCTCTCTTTTTTGGGTCCATGACTCGTGGTAAACTGTCCTCCACGAGCGTTCACATGTTCTCAAATTTCATGACAGTTGCTTAGTTTATGCAAAAGGGTCTTGTCCTTTATGAAGTCAAAGCACTTTTTTGCTCCAGTTGATTCCACTGTTGTGGTTGATTTCATCACAAGTCGCTTTGTGAGTCCAGTCACAAGTCCTCTCAGGAGACCAGTCTTATAACAACATGAAGGACGACAAAGGAGCTCTTGTCTCAGCTCATTTGCACAGCTGGTGACTTAGACTGGATGACCTGTGATGGACTTGCCAGGACTTGTGACAGACTCAACTACAAACCTGCCAGATTTACATTAACGGGAGTGCTACGTCTTTCATGAAAAGTACCAAATAGTCTCTGAAATCAGGCATTGTTTTTTGGCTGGTTGAAATATTTAAACATGTAACAAAATTGACAGATTCAGCCCTTTGACAGACTCTCCAGTCAGTTATGTTTCAGTCTGGTACCTGCAATACTTCGTCCTGGAGCTGACTGCATGATATGTCGTATGACACATCTTTGATGTGGCGCAGTCGTGACCGGGCTAGATGGATTGGGGTGTGTCCTTCCCTGTCTAATTCATGGGTGTTAGCGCCAGACTCGAGTAATGTTGTGGCCACACCCATGTGGCTGCTGAACACAGCTGGAAATTTGGAGAAAAAAAAGGGAACATGGGGGGGGGGTTTCATCAATATCTTGTAAGTGTGAGACGACATTGAAATGACGGATATCTACACAGACTTGATTAACTCTCGGAAACACTCTTCAATTCTTTTGCGGATATAAAGCAGCACCGCTGGGAATGCATGTACACTGAGTTAGTGATAAATCCATGCTGCACTATAGTGCATTCTAGATGGATTCACGACATGTAAAGTATTATGGCCTACATAGTACATTGTACAATAGAGTTTTTGTCTCGATGTAAACAATTTTGATTCATGTGCATTTGTGGATATTTCTGTCAAAAAAAAAGGCCTTGGATATTGAGGGCTGTTTGGAAATAATTCCTCATTTTTACCCAGCTTGTTAGAATCTTTTAATCTGGATACTGTAAAATTGCAACTCGGAAACGGGAAGTTTTTTTTTGCTCAATTTATTAATTAAATTCAGGACTAAAAACCAATTTCAGAAAATCAGGAATCGCTTGTTAGGCATGCATTCACAGAAACACTACATTTGTCACACTCTCTTTTAAGCAGGGAGGAAAAAAGGGACCTTTCAGAATTTCCTGATTTGATTTTTTCAGATTTCGAAGTTAATCCAAACCCCAGATTTCTGTAATGAGGATGTAAGTACTGAGCTTAGCTTGAGAGGACATGGACAGATATCCGGTCAGACAAGAAAGTCTGCCCCTCTGTCAGTATTAAGGCAATTGAAGGTAAATCTGCCTTGCTAGAAATCTGCAGGGCTGCAAATCAAGGCTCCTAACAGCATTATTGAGGGGTTGGAATGTGGTTTTAAAAAGTCGCTGGGCTGCTGCCACAGTGGCTCATGAGATTTACTGGACCAAAACAGCACTTCCCACATAAACACCAGCATTGCGGTTGCTAGACTCTTTTCTATGGAGAGCCAAAGCGATTATCTTTTCTTTTGTCAGTTACCAAGGTCATGGCTCTGAACAACAATCACTCAACTGTTTCCCTGGGCTTTTGTTACGAGATGTTTCAGTAAACAAGTCAATGTGTAGAACCTGCCCCATGGCAATGACGTCACACTCCACAACTTTATTGCATCCTCCAACAAGATGAACGAATCACATCCAACACTGCAGGGCTGCAAATCAAGGCTCCTAACAGCATTATTGAGGGGTTGGAATGTGGTTTTAAAAAGTCGCTGGGCTGCTGCCACAGTGGCTCATGAGATTTACTGGACCAAAACAGCACTTCCCACATAAACACCAGCATTGCGGTTGCTAGACTCTTTTCTATGGAGAGCCAAAGCGATTATCTTTTCTTTTGTCAGTTACCAAGGTCATGGCTCTGAACAACAATCACTCAACTGTTTCCCTGGGCTTTTGTTACGAGATGTTTCAGTAAACAAGTCAATGTGTAGAACCTGCCCCATGGCAATGACGTCACACTCCACAACTTTATTGCATCCTCCAACAAGATGAACGAATCACATCCAACACTGGACGGGTGTTGCTATATAAAAGGTTCATTTTGCACTATGAACTCCACCGTCGCTCTAATATGGTGCAAGGACAGCACAAGACTGACATCCAATTCTAGTGCAAAATTGGTGTCCTAGTTTAGTTTTTGTCACTTCCGTTTTGAGTACCGATTTTTATCTACTGCCACATACAAATGCACTGAGCAGGATTCTCAGACAAAGAAAAATCTGAGAGATGGAAGATGGAGAGTCAATGCTTCGTTGTTACTCAACACTCCTGACTACCAGCATCAAAACCATGTGACAATTTGGACTTAATTGTAGAGATGAACAAAGAAATCGACTGGAACAGGTATTGAACCTGCAACCTCTGGAACACTGTCCTGGCACTCTACCAATCGAGCTACCAGCCCTATGTTGGCGGTTCCCTCCATTCACCAGTATCATCGTTTAGGGGATCCTTGTAAGAAGCCACACAAATTATGCACATTGCGACTGGCTATTGTTCTACAAAATTCCTTATAGAGAGATTATGGGCTTAAACAAATGCATAAATGCACGGCAGCTCACCTAAATGAAGCGGCGTGTTCCCGAGTCCATCTTTTTGGTTGACATCTGCTCCTTTATCTATGAGCACCTGAACTGTTGTAAGACATGAGAAAGTTATTAATCAGAACTTAAATCAGAAAATTTTCGGATTTTTCTTTGGGGGGGGCGGTCAAAGATCTTTGATCAAGGATAATGAGAAGCTAGAAAATATTAATGTGAATTTTGTTTAAACATTTGGTGTTTTTACCACTCTACAGTGTTGGTGTTTTTAGATATTTAGGGTACCACTGCTGTCTTGCCGAGTCTGCCTTGAGCAGAAGCACCCCTTCATTAGAGATCTTTGTTGGTGGGGAGTGTTCATTTGGTTGGTAGCGAAGCGACCACAACGAGTAAATTTCATAGTCGTTCATGAACCAGGATAGAGCAGTCCCCACCAACAGAGCCTGAGTTACCAGGAAAATTGCGCCCTCTCTTGGTCCTGCTCAGGGCCCATAATAGTGCAATCTCCCAAACCTTTTCAGTACAGTAAAAGAGGGTGGACTGGGGAGGTTGCTGTAATGTGTTACTTACCCATCTCGTGGCATCTTTTAGTGACAGCGAAGTGCAACGGAGCTCTACCTTTGTCGTCAGGTCTGTTTGGGTTGACACCTTCCTCTAACAGCTTGCGAACTAGAAAAACAAGATAGCTGGATGGGTTTAAGGGGGAGTCAGGTTGGTGTAGTGTTTCTTTTCTCGCCTTCCACCTCTTGGGGCCTGGGTTTGAATCCAGCTCGGTCCACGTGTGTATAGGGTTTTCAGTCCCAACCTGAGTCCATGGGTTTCCCCAAAACATTTACCCGGGGTTTTCCTTCCACCTCTAAAACTGAACATCTCTTCATTGTCTTCTTGACTCATTATCATCCTGTAATTTGCACTAAATGCGCTGTTGGATGATCAGATATAAATAAGTAATTTATGAAGTTGGTTCAGCATAGGGTGGATGGGATTACCAGCATTAGATTTATAAATTGCAGATGACATCATTTGAAAAAGGCAAGATACAGCAGCCATCTTCTGACACACAGCCACCTGCCACAAATACATACTTGTTAAAAGTCATTTTACAAAACAAAACTTTTGAACAAAACCGTAGAGTATTTCTTCAAGCAAACTCCTATTTTTCAATACACTAGTGCACGCGCACCCATAGAGTGATATTTCCCACCACAACAGGTTGTGCAAAGCAGCCAAGCCAAAGCTTAACACACAGGCTGCCTGCACATACTTCTCAGACTTTGTGCATGTGCACAACACAAGCGGGAGATGATTGTGTTTAAATGTCAGCCGGAGGTGTTTACAAGTCCTCTGGGATGAACCATTTCCTGGGTGTACTGTGCACACTTCAACAAAGAGACAGTTATTGTAAGAGTCTGTTTACCTTCCTCAACATCACCCTTGCTAGCAGCATGTCGCAGCTTCCTTTCCCCTGTGTAAGAATAAAAACAACTTTTACATCTACCCCACCACATGCCTGCAACTTTAATCATATCCCTCATGTCTCAGCAACGGAAATTGGTGGCAGTGAACAGAAGATTTTCATGTTATTAGAGAGATGAATTCAAAGGAAGGCTGTTCTCTTCAAGTGTGAGACAAGAGGAAAACAGATGAACATTTGGCTCTTGTTGTGTTCATTTATAGAACAACTCTCAGTTGAATGGGGAACAGCTGTCCATATTTTTTCTTTTTTTAGCAAGACAGAATTAAAACTAAGAATCACTTTCAAGTGGGTCACGGCTGTACCTGATTCAAAAATTAACCCTAACCTTCCCTAACCACACAGAATTGAACACCAGTAAAGTGTGTGAATTTATGTCACTGGGTACTGTACCCCTAAACTGCTTGTGCTTTAAGTTTAACATGGGTTCAGGCATACCCAAAATAAACAGTCCAACTGTTTTTGTGTACAGTTTACCATATGGTGTTGGAATTTGTTGGGGAGTTAGGGTTAATATTAGCATCATAACCTCCTGCTTGCATGTCCTGAAATGTCTTGAGTGTAGCTAACTTTATGCAGTTATGCCAAACTTAACTCGGGATGATATGAATATGCAACAACACTCGAACACAAAATCTCAAAATTTTGCAGAAACTTTTGAAACAGCTCAGTTTGTCCCACACACTTGCAGAGCAGCAGGTATGGCAAAAACCTAAACACGTGAGATGTAAAAATACAGAATATTCCAAACTTCCTACAAATGATACATTTTGTAATTTTAGATCACAATCCACATACACTAGGCCAAAAGAACACGGGCATGACAGGCCTACCTTTCAAATCCTTTCCCAGTGGATTTTGTGTTAAAACTACTGCACCACGCCGGCAATGAAGTCGAGATCTTGGACGCCGAATTTTACCTACAAAATCATGCAATTCAGTCTCGGAAGACAAGTTTTCTGGGTCACCAAATGGGTTGAAATATGAAAAGTTGACACTGGCTGCAGCTAATTCCGATGACCAGTTCCTGATACCAAAGTTTAAATCAATCCGTGGATTCAAGTTCATTTTGCTATCGGTGTCCACAGCACTACCGGGGCTAAGGTTGCTCTTGCCTGGGCTGGACCCCACGATCCCACACGGCGGCTGCGGGAACATATCACCGCTCTCCGACACAGGGCTGGCAACCCTTGCATCGTTCATTCTTGTCAGCGAGATGCAGCCCTCACCCTGCCCAGAAATGCCGAACAACCGTACTAGGCCTACTACATGGGCCAACACTGAGGGAGAGTTTTCCGATCCATAACCCGGAAAAGAAAATTAGGGTGTCTGGGCCCAAATTAACGAGTGTTTTCCTGTTACACGATGCGTTGCTTTGGGAACTTCGACCCTGCCCATGGACGCGGCCATCTTTTAAAGGGAATTGTGGGATAGCAAGTCTTCGTGGTTTCGTTCCGGGACCAGACCGGACAGGAATTAATGTTGCATTATCCTGTTGTCTTGTTGAAACTAAAGCCTTTTACAACTAGTTTCCTTTTTGGGATAATGTATGGAAATCAAATACATTTTCGATCTTTGTAAGCCGTTGACGAAGGTAGAAATGACTAAATTAGTGTCGTTGTTGCAACGAGACTTGCAAAGGTTATCTGCGGTCAAGTACCATGCAGGAAAGGTGACCAGACTAACGCACATGGCATCAGCGTTTCGTTCGTCTGGGAGCCTGTCCACATGCGAAGGGAGATGGTCTGGTTTCAGTCCCGCCACGTAACATACAGAGACTAACACGGAGATAGAGAGCGCAAACCAGTCTACTCAAAATTCGACGTACGTAATTTATGGCACGTATGGGGGAGCTGCGAGATTGGCGTTTCATCTTCCAAGTTTGTTGATCGTAAAACACACATGGAAGCGCGCGTTTCTTTTCTAAAGTTTTCTGACAAAACTTGAGGTTACTTTAAGAAAAGACCACCTGGAAATCTTGGAAGGAGAAGAAGGCAAAATGACGGCCAGTTGTTCCGACCTTCGCCAAAAACTTGATCACAACCACCATTCGCATTATGAAAATGCAAGTTTCGGAAGCCGGAGACGACGACCATTCGATGTCAAATATGACCCCTCCAGGAGGCGGAGCCATGAGTTTGGGAGGCAGGGTAACTATGAACACCGCTCCTCCTTTGAGGACGACATGGAAGAAGTGAAGAAAATACACTCGGGTATCAAACAGTACCAGCTTTTCTCGGATGCTGAGAGCAAAGAAATTGAGAAGAAGATTGACGAAGTGGTGCAGAATGGACTTGAGGGGAAATACAGACTGCATACAGTAGACAGGGCCCCACTACGTAACAAGTACTTCTTTGGTGAAGGCTACACATACGGGGCACAGCTTTCCAAACGGGGGCCGGGCCAGGAGCGCCTGTATCCAAAGGGAGAGGTTGACGAGATACCTAGTTGGATCTACGAACTCGTCGTGAAAAAACTAGAGGACAACAACCTCATTCCCAAAGGGTTCATCAACAGTGCAGTGATCAATGACTATCAGCCAGGGGGCTGCATTGTCTCACATGTCGACCCCATGCACATCTTTGACAGACCCATCATTTCAGCGTCGTTCCTAAGTGATGCAGCACTGTGCTTTGGCTGCAAGTTCTCCTTCAAGCCGATTCGGGTCACCAAGCCTAAAGTCAGCTTGCCGATAGCTCGAGGATGTGTCACACTGCTCAGGTCTCTGTTAAAACTAACATTTTAGACGACTGATGTGATTGTTAGTTTCTCGTTCCTCGTTCGACTGTCTACATTCTGTGTTGTGCCAATAACCGTTTGATATTTCAACATTGAATAAGTAACCATTTGACCTTCGGGGTACACACCCCTAGAAATGATGGAGTGCAGAAGGGACAAAAAACCTAACTTTGCCACCATGCACATCCATTCACATGTACCTGTTACACTGTACATACCATTTCACAATGATGTATACACACTCAACTCTCTCCCACGGAGGCAACCCCGGGGCATGGGGTTTATCAGGGTCAAGCAAGCCCTGAAATGTAGACGTTTTTTAAAGCAATTTAAATACTAGAGAAAAAAAAATTTAGTCCTAATACTTGCTGTTTTCATCGAAACTGTTTCACTCAATTGAAGTAATATACATCAATCCCACGGCCCAGGTCTAAACTTAATTTAAAAGTGTTTCTGTACACTGTAGTCTGTACACTTAAGTTTCCCGGCTGCTTCCATTTCAACTGGGGCAGCGCAGTTTTCCGGAGTCAAAATGGCTTTGACTACAATCTTGTGGATGGAGGTCTTCACTTACAAACGAGAGGAAAGGGAATGCATCATGTCACGCTTTTCTCAAATCGAAATAAAATACCCAAACCCCATGCCCCACCTTGAGATTACACTGAACATGATGTCATTGTTCTCCTCAATCGGCGATGACTCCTTGCAACCCGGGGCATGGGGTTTTCAGGGTCAAACAAGCCCTGAAAAGGTGGCACAGTTTTTTTTATGTCCCTTTAGCACTCCATCATTTCTAGGAATGTGCATTCAGAACGGTCACTGAATGTCAAATGGTTACTTATTCAATGTTGAATATCAAGCAGTTTTTTGGTGCAATATTGAATGTCTAAGGTCAAATGAGGAATAAGTAATTAACTTACTTGGGACAGTCCCAACTGCTGGGCTGGCCCNAACTGTAATCCCCACTTCTTTTCCCCCTCCCCCATTCTTTGTTTCTTTTTTCCACAACGTTTGACCCCTTCAGAAGTCTCTGCAGACCTAGATGCAAATGCTGTTTAATTCTTTACAAAAACAACCCTCCAAGTAAGAACCAAAAAGTTAATAAGATTATACTTTTTTTAATCTCCACAAGAAAAGAGGAAGTTCAGGAACCCACCATGCCCTCACATGAAAAGCCAATACCCTTTGCCCATTATTAGCACTTTTTTGTGTTAAATTGTAGTAAGTGTGGGTTGCATCCTCACTTTGTCCGTAGCTCCAAGTTCCCAACTTTGTCCATTTTCTACTTGGGGCACATCCAACTGTGTCAGCACAGTGAAGGCTGGTTCATACTCACTGCGTATTCACTATGTACGCAGCAGGACGGTCTATTTTGAGGTGTCTGCAGTGAGTGAATGAAAGCGCAGTGCGTTATGAAAATGTGCGCCCTTGCCTGTAGTTTATGAAAACAATGGATAAAGCGTACGTACCAAATGTATACGTATTCGGACAAATTGAATTTTTAAAACTTTTATTGGATATGCAAACGCAGCCGAGACTTGAGAAAACATGAAAGTTTGAATGTCAAATGCGGCGTTCACATTAGGCGCTGCGTGTGTGCAAACGTAGCGAGTATGAACCAGCCCTTAGGCTTGTCCTACTGTTGTGATAATGAGCCAGTTCGGTATTCCAACAGCTCATGCCCAGTGCGAGGCTACAGCCGCGCATGCATGCGATAGTCCATCTTATCAGAGCAGCCATATGCTGACTCACACGTGTGCTTTGTTCCCGAAAAATTCTGGTTTTTTAAAATACTGAACTGGCTGATTGTACGTTTATAAAGAATATATTAAAAACAACAGATTTGTGCTTTTGGAAGTTGAAAAGTGGAGGGGGAGGGTAAAATATTACCAAATCGTAAGCACAGTAGAGTCTGAACAAAGAACTTCTTACGGTAAAGATTTCCCTTACAAAATGCTGATCTCTCTGCTGTAAAAATGATTATTATCTTAACAATTTGATGATGGAACCAAGGCACCCTAACTCACAAGCCTGAAAAAAATGTGTAAAGAGGAGATGCGTCATTCTATAAATTTGGGGTCCAATTTTCCCGTCCCTGTTACGTCTGGCATTGTTTACTTTCCAAGACTGAATAAGTACGGCAAATTACCTGCCAAACAAATGAAAATAGTTTGAAATCAATTTCAGTGCTGTATCCCTTGTCAAATTTGTCAGATGGTATACATGTACATGTCAGAGGTAACAGGGACAGAAAAATGTCACACTTTGGACCCTAAATTTATAGAATGACACCAGATGGCACCTGAGAAGCAGTTACAGTTTTACAGGTTGGAGGAAAACCCAAGAAGGATAAATTCTGGGTAAAACTCACCGAAGCAGGGTAGGGACTGAAAAATCCAATCCACATGCACACCGGACCGGGAATCGAACCTGGGCCGCAGAGGTGAAAGGTGAACAACTTCACCGGCCCGACTCCTTCCAAATCAAACACAGTTGTGTTGACAGTGTTGACCTTGTGTTTGTTTGCAGTGGCTATGCAGCTGATGAGGTCACCCACTGCATCCGACCTCAAGATGTGAAAGCGAGAAGAGCCGTGATTATTGTACGCAGGTAAACATTTTATGTTGTTACTTCGTTGTAAGCCAGAGTTACGTGTTATGTCAAACTTGTATTTTATTTCATTCCTCCGAAAATGGACAGAGTTAACCCCTTCGCTCCGGGAGACGGCAAGAGCCGCGGCTTTGTGTGAGGATTAGTGCACACCACACATACAGTCTATTCACCATGCAGCTGCTGGTTCAATGGGGCCTGCTGATGGACAAAACCCTCCATTCAGGGCATACCACAGCCCAGCAGTCGCGGTCAAAAGAATACCGGCGCGAAGGGGTTAAGGCGCTTTTCCAAGCGTACGTTTTTGTGGGTGCATCGTGTAAACGATGTGTTCATGCGTTTCACTTTCACAGACACAAAAGTCCACTCCATTAACATAACACACATGTGCGTTGCATTTCAGCTGTCAAAATCACCCCGGGAGCAAATTTGACAGATATGCAATGCTTGGTGCAAGTGTTGACGTGCATAAGGAAAGGCACCTTTAGACAAACCCAAGGAAACAGATTGGAAATGGAAGCCGGTCTGAGCAAGGAGTAGTTCCAAAAAGAAACCAGAGTGCCGTTATTAGATTTCAATTTTGGGGGGTTCTCTTTTTAAACCTTTTTTTCTCCACCCACCAAGCAGAATGTGTGTACACTACAATGCTTTGCAAGTTACTGAGAAAAAAAAAAAACCTGTTAGCACACGATTTCATGCTAACAGAGGCTCTTCATACTTCATGGAGACCGTAAGCAGTAAGTAGAACCAAAGGCATGCTAACCTCAGAGGCACAACTTGCTAACATACAGGCATGCTACTTTTCCACGGATCCGCGGATTTCCACGTTTTTTAAAAATCCGTCTGCACAAAAAAATACCTGCGTTTTGGGCTTGTTTCTGTTTGTGCTACGGCGCTGGCCGCGCCAGCGTAGCGCGCACGGAGTTCCACTTTTCGGTACACATTAATGAGCACAAAAACCTCGTCCGCACCCTTGTTTTGTGCACGCGTAAAATGCACTAAAAAGTGCAGGACACAGTCTCAGCACTGTACGTGCAAGCACCTCTGTCGACGACAAGCCAATAGTCCGGTGCCGCATTTTTTCCTGATGTTAATTAATATGTTGTTATATGGATACTATACCGCTTCCACGGCTGGCCGCAAACGTTGAAAAAACACCGCTGTCAATGTGCATCGTGATCGTCGATCACTCACGTGCCGAAACTCAAAATGACCTGCAAAAGGAAGGATATCAGATCAAAGAGCCACTGCACAGCACCCACTTCAACATTCCAAGACCCCAACGTCCAAAACAGGAGCACTAGAGGTTGCATCGAAGGTCGCCAAGATAGCCAGATTAAATCATATGGAAAGGGTGAAAAACATCCAAAAGAAAGATCCATTAGACAGGTGGGAATATCAATTTTATGTCTCAGGTTTATTTCACAGAATGTACCTCTCATAATAAAAATTTCAAAAAGAATCACAAATAAGAAGCATTTTGTGTATTTTTAATGTAAAGTATGCCATAAAAAGCTTTATATCTTTCAAATTTCACTTCAACTTGGGCCAAAAACTGCATAGAATGCGCCACAGGGCATGTAAAATTCAAAATTTTCCGGGGCCCTAAGGCGGGTCCGGACCCCATGCCGAATTGGCTTCGCGTTGCGCGCACACAGTGCTGTATGCAAGAATGTTTTCCTCTTTTTTCAAATTGAAGAGTTGCATGCCTGAACATAGTGGCGTAACAAATGAAATCTCTGCATACGCAACAGAGCACAACCACACAATGCACCGCTAGGAAATGGCTCTTACTGTAGGTAAAATTTTGTCGGCTAAAGTTAGCAGGCTTTTTCTGCTGTTAAACAGCTCCGTGACATTAGGCCCAGTTTTGATGCTAATATTGGGCCTGTTTGGTATATCAATAAGGCAAGTTCATTTGACAACAAAGCAGATGACATTGTACCAATTTGAACATGTTCAGTGCATGCGATTCAACGTATGGCCATGATAATGGGGCCAACCTCGCGCGCACATATTGATGGGCGCAAATGACCCGCAGCACGCTGTCATTTGAGCATGCNAGCTGTAATCCCCACTTCTTTCCCCCCCCCCATTCTTTGTTTCTTTTTTCCACAACGTTTGACCCCTTCAGAAGTCTCTGCAGACCTAGATGCAAATGCTGTTTAATTCTTTACAAAAACAACCCTCCAAGTAAGAACCAAAATGTTAATAAGATTATACTTTTTTTACTCTCCACAAGAAAAGAGGAAGTTCAGGAACCCACCATGCCCTCACATGAAAAGCCAAAACCCTTTGCCCATTATTAGCACTTTTTTGTGTTAAATTGTAGTAAGTGTGGGTTGCATCCTCACTTTGTCCATTTTCTACTTGGGGCACATCCAACTGTGTCAGCGCAGTGAAGGCTGGTTCATACTCACTGCGTATTCACTGTGTACGCAGCAGGACGGTCTATTTTGAGGTGTCTGCAGTGAGTGAACGAAAGCGCAGTGCGTTATGAAAATGTGCGCCCTTGCACGTAGTTTATGAAAATAATGGATAAAGCATACGCACCAAATGTATACATATTCGGACAAATTGAATTTTTAAAACTTTTACTTTTTTAGGGGGAGGGTAAAATATGACCAAATCTTAAGCACCGTAGAGTTTGAACAAAGAACGTCTTACGGTAAAGATTTCCCTTACAAAATGCTGATCTCCTCTCTGCTGTAAAAATGATTATTATCTTAGCAATTTGATGATGGAACCGAGGCACCCTAACTCACAAGCCTGAAAAAATGTGTAAAGAGGAGATGCGTCATTCTATAAATTTGGGGTCCATTTTTTCCCGTCCCTGTTAAGTCTAGCATTTGATTTTTAATGTGCAGAATTCATTGTTTACTTTCCAAGACTGAACAAGTACGGCAAATTACCTGCCAAACAAATGAAAATAGTTTGAAATCAATTTCAGTGCTGTATCCCTTGTCAAATGGTATACATGTACGTGTCAGAGGCAACAGGGACGGAAAAAACTCACCGAAGCAGGGTAGGGACTGAAAAATCCAATCCACATGCACACCGGACCGGGAATCGAACCTGGGCCGCAGAGGTAAAAGGTGAACAACTTCACCGGCCCTACTCCTTCCAAATCAAACACGGTTGTGTTGACAGTGTTGACCTTGTGTTTGTTTGCAGTGGCTATGCAGCTGATGAGGTCACCCACTGCATCCGACCTCAAGATGTGAAAGCGAGAAGAGCCGTGATTATTGTACGCAGGTAAACATTTTATGTTGTTACTTCGTCGTAAGCCAGAGTTACGTGTTATGTCAAACTTGTATTTTATTTCATTCCTCCGAAAATGGACAGAGTTAAACCCTTCGCTCCGGGAGATGGCAAGAGCCGTGGCTTTGTGTGAGGATTAGTGCATACCACACATACAGTCTATTCACCATGCAACTGCTGGTTCAATGGGGCCTGCTGCTGGACAAAGCCCTCCAATCAGGGCATACCACAGCCCAGCAGTCACGGTCAAAAGAATACCGGCGCGAAGGGGTTAAGGCGCTTTTCCATGCGTACGTTTTTGTGGGTGCATTGTGTAAACGATGTGTTCATGCGTTTCACTTTCACAGTCAAAATCGTCCCGGGAGCAAATTTGACAGATACGCAATGCTTGGTGCAAGTGTTGACGTGCATAAGGAAAGGCACCTTTAGACAAACCCAAGGAAACAGATTGGAAATGGAAGCCGGTTTGAGCAAGGAGTAGTTCTAAAAAGAAACCAGAGTGCCGTTACTAGATTTTAATTTTGGGGGGTTCTCTTTTTAAACCTTTTTTTCTCCACCCACCAAGCAGAATGTGTGTACACTACAATGCTTTGCAAGTTACTGAGAAAAAAAAAACCTGTTAGCACACGATTTCATGCTAACAGAGGCTCTTTGTATTTCATGGAGACCGTAAGCAGTAAGTAAAACCAAAGGAATGCTAACCTCGGAGGCACAACTTGCTAACTTACAGGCATGCTACTTTTCCACGGATCGGTGGATTTCCACATTTTTTAAAAATCCATCCGCACAAAAAATACCTGCGTTTTGGGCTTGTTTCTGTTTGTGCTACGGCGCTGGCCGCGCCAGCTTAACGCGCACAGAGTTCCACTTTTCGGTACACATGAGCACAAAAACCTCGTCTGGACCCTTGTTTTGTGCACCCGAAATGCACTAAAAAGTGCAGGACACAGACTCAGCACCGTACGTGCAAGCACCCTCTGTCAACGACAAGCCAATAGTCCGGTGCGGCATTTTTTCCTGACGTTAATGAATACGTCGTTATATTGCGCGCACACAGTTTTGTATGCAAGAATATTTTCCTCTTTTTTTCAAATTGAAGAGTTGCATGCCTGAACATAGTGGCATAACAAAAGAAATCTCTGCATACGCAACAGAGCACAACCACACAATGCACCGCTATGAAATGGCTCTTACTGTAGGCAAAAATTTTTCAGTTAAAGTTAGCAGGCTTTTTCCGCTGTTAAACAGCTCCGTTACATTAGGCCCAGTTTTGAAGCTAATAGTGGGCGTGTTTGGTATATCAATAAGGCAAGTTCATTTGACAACAAAGCAGATGACATTGTACCAATTTGAACATGTTGCATGCGATTCAACATATGGCCATGATAATGGGGCCAACCTCGCGCGCACATATTGATGGGCGCAAATGACCCGCAGCACACTGTCATTTGAGCATGTGCTGTCTGAGTGCTCATTGCAAGTGTATCCCCTCACAACATCCTTGCTTTCCGGGTTAAACGGCCCACCGTAACACCATATCAGTGGCTTGAAGCCTTAAGACCGGTTCAACGGATTCATGCTCGGCGTGAAAGCAAATACAAGTGACACAATTTATGACGTCAGATCAAAAGAATTGTGCTATGAATTCGCGAAAGTTCAACATATTTCGACTCGAGCCAAATTTTGCTGCAGATCTTCCGTGACTTCAGATTGTTTCGCATTCGCATGAAGTGTGAACTGGCCCTCATGCGGTTAGTGCTACCTGCATCATCAAGGTATCCTGCAATTTTAACAGATCCAGGCTGCGTGTAGATTGGTCTTACAGGTATGCACTGTAATCAGTAGTTGTAGTTTTCTGTACTCATTGGCGCAGTTTAAAATTGTCTGTGCTTTCATAGGGATCAGTAAGAGAAATTTGGTCATGTGTTTCTTGTATCAAGGGTTTTTGAAGACGCGCCACGTCTGCCAGCCGAGCCATCTCTCAAGAGCCTGCCCGCACCGTCCCAGGATAGAGGGCACAACCCACGACACGGCCACCACAACAACAGGGGCAGCTCCAGCAGCGACAGGGCCCGCAGCTGGGGTTCGTCTTTCTCCCCAGCGGCCGAGGCCAAGTCCAGCAAAGTCCGTTCGGCCGTGGCACTGGTGGTAGAGGGGAAGCAGTCGGAAGCAAACAAGTCCCCTGCACGAAACAGTGAGGCAGCCAAGGACACAGGTGGTGAGAAGGAGGGCAAACGGGTGACGTTGAAACGGCCGGCTCTGGATGGTCCGAGCAAGCGGGAGGACCCCCAGCATCAGGGCAGCAGGCCAAAGGCGGAGCCAGTGCCCCACAAGAAGGTGAAGATCAACAGGCAGCAGCCGTTTTCCTCATCGTAAGTTGTTCAGGAAATTCCCTCGTAGCCACGACTTTATTCAAGGATGCTAGTGACCTGGTTTGTAGTACAAAGGACAAGCAAAGCACATGCAGGAAGCTTTACCCACAGCCACTTAAGTCTATCAAACGTAAAAAGCATCCTCAAGGAAGTGAGACTTCACCAGCAGCCCTATTTCAGAATGTTGGAGACAAGGAAAATTGGGAAAGATGACAAAAGTCTGTTTTGAATAAAAACATTTGGGGGTCACTCTTCAGTTTCAAAAGGGAAACGCCCGTGCAAGAAAGGGTGGTGGTGGTTTTTCGTGTTGTTGTTTTTTTGTCAATGAACTTCAGAGATGACCCACATTCTGAGTAAAAATAATTTAACGATTATTCTATAAAAGTGAACTAATTTCAGGTTGAATGGGTGTTACTATGAGTTCACACTATTTAGTAATCCGTTGAAATTTTGCTACAAATTAACCATCATTGAAAAACTGCAGAAAAAGAGCAACAGCCTAAACACTCCTTCACCTAACCAAATATCTTACCATTTTTTTGCCAGTTGTCTTCATGTTTATCCACACGAGATGCTCATTTTAGTTTAATGCTCGTAAAGGTTCACAGAAATCAAATCCACAAAAAGTATATTTTGTTTTCGAGGTCACAGTGGATGTATTTTTTTATTTTACCAATTTACTAAGCAGTCACGTAAAATGGGGGGGATGAATGTCATTTCCCCCACCCAAAAAAATGCCCCCTTTAAAACTTTTACCAAGTACTTGTGCCTGTGCATATATGACTTGCTCCATGAAAATGAGACAGATGTCATCAGAGTCATGTTTGAGTTAATGGCTTCTGAAAAAAATTGGATGCTCTGTAATGCAGTAGGAGCCCTGAATATTGTTTACCCGAATAAAGTGCAATGCTGCTGTAACCAATACAGTAGAGCCCACTCAAAATGTTCGTATAATGGGTGGTCCGGTATAGCAAATTTGAGTTTCCCGTGTACCGGTTCCAGCTCCGGAGTCCAGACCATTCAAACATGTGGCGGGCTGCCACACGAATGCGTCTGGGTGGGGATTTGGGGACAACGCTTCCAACCTTCATCCAAAAATATCAAGTTCAAATCAATAGCACCGAAATTTGTGAGTTTTTGCTCAGTGTGTGTACTCATTTCCTATAATACTTCACTTTTTCAGTTGTTCTCGCTGGAAGTTGAATTGCAAAATGATGTTAAGTTTCCCATGAGTTTTTCTTTGAGTCATTGCTTAAAAAATGAAAATGCGACATGCAGAAGTCCATTCTGCAGCACCAAAACCAGATTGGGTACAGTGGTAAAAGTTGGCAGCATTAAAAATGTCAGGCAAGTGTCGTTAAAAATGATCAACAGCAGCGAATATTTTATGAGTTTTCTGGGACATAAGTTACAAGAGCTGCCGTAATCTGTGTATGCATTTGTAGTTTCTTTTACCATCAATTTTTTCATGGCAACAAATCCTTGCCTTAGCGACAACGTGAAGCAGGATTTGATCCAAGTTAATTGTGGGCGTGTGCTCGGTAGCCGGTTTCCATGGCTACCTGTACATGTACACACATAGATGTACAAGTACACGAATGTATGTGTACATGTTCCCATGAATGACACTGACTGCACCACGTTTTTCATTTTTGGTTCTTCGCGACTAAGATTTTCCTTAACTTTCAAGTCATCATCAGTACTAAGTATGTTTCTTTTACTGAATACAAATTTTGCAGTGTTTGGTAACAGTGCACGGAATATTTTGGGGCCAAAGGGGAGGTTCAGTACACTTTATTGTTCATTATAGCCGTGTTTTAATGTACACGTAGCAGCATTGCACTGTGAGGTCCAAATATTCATCAGGATACCAAACTTAATATAGCATCGAAGCAGAGGGTCCAGTTTGCTCATTCAAATACAAACTTAAAGGTCAGTTCTCACATGACACGAAAGTGAACACGAATTTGTGACATCGGATCAAATGTGGCCTGTCACCACAAAATGGCTGGAAGTCAAAATTTTCAAAAATTGAGACACATGTATTGGTGTTCTTGAATTCAGCAGAAAGAGAGCTTTCCAGTGGTATGTACATGGAACACTTGGGGTAAAAGTATAAGGTGATAATGTGGCATTATTCTGGCAGCTTTGTGTCTTTGTTCCTGGCATTGTTTGAACATTTCTGACCAGGCATGAATAATGATATCATCAAAATTGCTGAGAAAAAATGACATTTTTAAATCTAAAATCCTGCGAAATGTTTGGAATTAAATAGACAAATTACTCTTTGCAAATATTACAAAACTCCTAAATTGATCTCTTCGATATGACTTTGAACCCTCGAAATAGGAAAGAGCAGGATGCGACTTTTACTCTCATTTTGTCATGACGGGTCACAAATCTTCACGCTGCAAATTCGCAAAACTTGCACACATTGACACCCGAGTGAAACTTTGCTGGAAATCTCTCGTGACCTCAAATTTGCATCGCTTTCACATTCGTCAGTAGCATGATTCAGCCGTAACAAAAGTAGCTTCAGTGACATCTGAATTATTTTCACCAGACTACAATGTACAGCCAATTTCTGAATGGATTGAACTTTCAAATACATGTCCATACTCCACTGTTAATAAAAAACAAAAAAACCAAAAATGCCAAGCAGTTTATCTATGCACATTTCAAGCATGCCGTTCCCACCAGCATCATTAAATTTTCGTCAGTTTATATTCTGTTGTTGTTTTGTTTTGGTATTGTCACTACTGATGCTTAGGCCTATACACATGTACATAATAAAATGAAAACAGCAGAAAGTCTTGCCACACAGAATTTCCTCTTCCCATGTTCACAGATGTAGACTGTGAATCATTTACCGGCTTGTTTTCTACGAATGAAAATGTGTACGGAAGGAAAACATTGATGCCTGCCGTTAGAAAGTAGTTTCATAATCTATGGTGTTAAAAATAACCTTTTGTTCCGAGGCTGAACATCAGATGCGCACCTCGCATAATCACAGGCATGCACAATGGCCGATGGTATTCTGTTATGGATGCGGGCCTCCTCTATTGTAGCACAGCCTTTAGAGATCGCTTTCGCCACACGGAGCAACATTAACAAACCAATGGAATAACAAAGCACGGTAACAGCCCTCTGCTGTGCACTGTGCATGACATGGATGACCTCCCCTTGTCATCAGGCATCATTGGTGTTATAGATGACGCACCTACTGTACAAAACTTGAGTGTAACTTACATGTATGTGTGTTTAAACCTTTTTGGCTGCATCTATCCACTTGTACATGTAGCTTATATTTACATTGTCAAAATCTTTGTCTCATTTAAGAATGAATTTTGAGACGGTAGAACTCAGTTCGTAACTGGTTTTCAGACCAATGTATTTCGCTTTGATTTTTTCCCCCTGTTTTTAAAACAAAAATTTTGCTGCATTTAAAGAAATGAGTTTACCTGCATGAAAAGTCACAAGTTACTCCCATCCTCACTAATGCACTAAGATCCGAGAGCATAATAATAAGTTATTAAAAAAACATGTTTGTCGTAGATGATGGAATCCTGTAGGCTTTCTTAGGGGCCCATACAAAACACACTTAGATCAGGGTTAGAGGTCGGCGAATGAGGGGTTGATGGATGATGATTCCATATCGACACGATTCCTCCTGCAAGAAGGCAATAACCTGTATTTTGCAGTTAGATCTTGTTGGATCATTTACTGCTTTGGATTACATATTTTTAGATATAAGGTTAAGCATGGGACTTTACTTTGCAATTGTTAGTAACTTATGGTTATGAGCATATGTACATATTTTTCCTTACTGTTTGCATAAACGTACGAATGGAACTGATTACGATAAATTGTCTAAGAACATGTAACGGAAAGTAATGGCTTTTTCCCAGTTTTCATATTTCTTTGTCACATTTTGACGTAAAATATAGAAATTTGTTAATTTGTCATTACATGTGTGGTCAGTTTACAATGCACTGTTTATGAACATGTCCAGTCTGTTAATTGAAATTGCGTCAAGTATACAGGATACCTTATAAACATGAAAACTGATAAAAGTAAACATACATGTATCTAGTATCTACTACAGAAAAATTAGTCTAGGTTAACAGTCTTACAATTCACATAAACGGTATTGATGCATACTGGTACATGTAAGTAGATATGCTTTCAGAGAAATGGCTTCGTACATGTAGGTTGCCTGTCTTCTGAGGTCTGAGGTGTCGTTCTTTAGTTGTGGTCTGAAATGCTGTTGGACAGATGCTAAAAGACATTTAATGCATGTACATGTACAAATAGTTGTTCTCAGAATGAAACTGTCTCATTGAAGTTGGAGAGAGCAATTAATTAAATGGCATTTGGCTTCATTTACGAGATGGCCATTTGGGCTGTGTTCACTGAATCAATTTTATCCGTTTAATTAACCCTCTGAAATTGGAAGGAACCTGACTGTTTTGTGACAATTACATGTATAACCACACTTTGAAAAATATTTTCACCCTGACAGTGAAGGTGACATGTGATACTTTGTCCATAATTTAGAACTTACTATCCGAGCAAAAGGACGGAAATCTGTAATTTACCCCCGGTAAACCATCATCGTCATTCCCACACATGTTTCAGTTGGAAGAGAATTTTTACTGTGATCGCTACACTTTCAATTCAAGATGGCCGACACTAGAATAAGACCAACTTGGAAAGCAGTTCATTTACATTGAAAGGCGTCACAGTACTGACTTAATGTTTGCATCCATCTCTGTGATGTGTTTTACATTCCTGTTCATGGTCTAGAGTGCTTCAGTTTTTCCATATTTTCCATGCTATTTCCTGATGGTGAGTTAGGGTAGACTTGATGCCCCAGTAGGATGAGCCACGTTTATAAAAAATTTCCCTGTTCGAAGGTCAGTTACATTAGTATGTTCCAATCTTGCTGAGTTCAAACTGCTTTCTTACAATGTACATGTGTAGTACAAATGCACATGGGCCATATGTTGTTTTGATACCGGTACATGTACATGTGATCAGCTCTTCCGATATAGTATGGCTCGTGCATAATCAGTCTCTTTTGTTGCTCTTTTTTTTCCTGTGTGACTGAAAAGAATATTTGTGCCAAATGTTTGATTTTGCAAAGATGACTTCTAATATTCCGTGTAGTGTGTAATGCTGAGCTAGTTGGATTATTGAAATACTTTGTGGTTGATCGCCAACATCATGTGCAGATAAGCTGGCACCGTGTATTGCGAAAGCTTCGTCTAGGGAAGTGAAGTACTAAAATACAGGCGTGCTTAGATAGCTCATCAGTGAATCGCTTAAAAAGAGATACTTGTATGTGTACATGTATGCGTACATGCATTATGCAGGAATGACATGGTTCTGATGTTCTGATGTTCATGGGCCTATTTCATGGACCAGCTGAGCACAGAAATTTGCTAAGCCCGAAAAAAAAAAAATTGCTGAGAAAAATCAGGTTAGCAGTCCAAATGTCGCATGTTGTATTCAATTTCTGACTGGTTCTTGGCTATGTTTTAGGCCCAGCTCATGTACTTACTTTGCAGTGCCTTCTGTTAAGCAGATCCAAGAAAGGTGACTCTGCTGACACCACCAAAGGAGATACATTTGCATTTGAGCATTTGCTGTCAGTTGAAAGACATCAAAATGCCCTGTCTGGGGAAATCTAGGCGGGGTGTGTTAGGGTTTGTTATCAGAGGGTCCTGCTTTCCTGCATGGAGGTTGATTTTTTTTCCCTTTGTATATATTCCTTTCGAGTGTTCTCCTGATATTGTGGCATTGAAGAGGGATATAAAACAAGCAAGTTATAACGAAACTGTTTAGAAGGAATAAAGACATCCCAGATTAGGTTTTTCGACAGTCGCAGAACTGTAAGATGCTTAGGCCTAACCTGGTCTCAGTCAGTGTCACTTAATTTTGAGGGACCTGGTGTCCTAGATTTGTTCAACAAATAATACAAAGACTGTAAGTATGTGTAATGTTGGTTTTGGGGCATATTTTGGAAGGTTTGTTTCCATCACAATGAGCCGCTGTACAAGTAGACTACATGTATCAGACTCATGAGTGTAAGGTTTGACCTTGGAGGAAAGAAAACATACTTCCTCTATGGTTTGTACACAGCCAGGCCTGTGTCTCAGTGTGCCGCCGATGTGGTTAAGCTGCAGTGGTTGTATTGAATTTGGCAGGGCAGCTACATCATGTACCAGGGGTATGTTTTCATTTCATGTTGTTGCTTAAAGCAAGCAACAACATCAACCGTGACAGAGTGCGAAGCAGTCACTGGCCGTGTATGCCACAGCTAGTGCTTGAGAACCTGCTTTCATTGTGTAAAATATTTTATGTAAAATGTAGGGTGATTCTCATCCCAGCAAAGTTGAAACAAAATAGAATTGAAATGGATCACGTCAAGCTGGATTTCTTGGTGTGCATGAATATCATATCACAAAACAGTTGAAATATGTGAATACTTTGTTTTCTCTGCATCTGCCGACCAAAACTTTAATCCCAGAAGTGCCTCTAGCAAAACAAAAAGAAAAAAATACACAGTATTGTTAACTTTTGAACTTCCACCCATGAGTGGAAAGGAAGGGGGGGTTAAAATGTTCCTGCTGCGGCAACTGTTCAAAGTAGGTATTCTCAGATGGCTCCAAGACACAGGCGTTACGAATGTGTCACTGAAAACGCCCTTTGCCAATCAAAAAGTAGAGGACAAAATGGTGGGAAATGTACACATGTAGGTTGACAGTTGATAAGCCTGTTGTACCTTAAAACTTGAAACTTATTTCCAAAGTGCTGAGGGCAGTTACTTCAAACTGTAGTTACTTAGAAAAAAAAGGATAAATAAGACTTCATTTACTGCATGATGTTTAAATAAAAGAAACTGAGTTAGAGAAGAAGATTTACATTTGTAATTGTGTAAATACATGTAATTGATCTTATTTTTTGCATCCGAATGTTATGTGAGCAAAGCACTCTCGGAACCATTAAAATGCGAAATGTTATGTAATCTTACAAGATCTGTTTTGTTGGTTGCAGTGTGTCGA